CCTCCTCCCGCGGCATCCGCTGGAGGGGCCTGGGCGGTGGGAAGGGTGAGCAAACACAGCTTACCCTCCCCATTTCGCACCCGAAAGACGTCGACGTCGACGTGGTTGCTGCCGGAAAACGGAAACGCCATCGCGGCGATGCCGCCCCCGCCGCTTTCCCGCTCCCCATCGGGCGGGAATTCCCCTTCCGAAGGCGGCACCCCCGCAGGCTGCCCGCGTCGACGGACCTGCTGTGTGGCGTGCACCACCGCCGTTTCCGTATCGGTCGGGCCGCTGACGATGCAAAAATCACTCGCGGCGTTTCGCGCGACGTCGAGAAGGGCGATTGGGGTGCTTAAATACGCCGGGGAAAGCGCCGTCTGCGCGGTATTTTCGATCCCCAACATCGCAAGCGTGCTCGGGATGGCGTCGTAGAGGTAGACGTACTGCCGACAAAGAATCAGCATCCGGGTTCGGAGCGGGAAAAAGATCTCCTTCACGCCTTCCTCCTCGCTTTCTTTCGGGGCAGGGGGTTTGCCGTCTTTGCTGAGGGCGGGGAGGGTTTGACCGGAAGGGGGGATCGCCCCATTCCCGCCGCTCGGCCCCTCCGAAACGTTCGGCGGCGGCGGATGAGGGGGGGGGTTGGAGGGGGCCGCGGGAATCGGTTGCGTGGCCTCCGCCGGATGTGGGATCTCCCCAGCATCGCTGAAACAAACACTCCCGAGCGCGAGATCCCCGGGTAGGTTGCTCATCCGTCGACGACCTTTCCCGACGTACTCGGTAAAATGCAGCACGAAGCTGCGTTTCTGCACCAACAACTCCTCCAAACGATGTCGGACGGTTTTAAAATTCGACGGCGGGGAGGAATGGGGGGGGGAGACCTTTTTCGGCGACGCCTCCGTCGGACTAACCGGAAAGTTCACGTGGAAGCCCTGCTGGGTGGTGTGGAGGGTGAAATTTTCATTCGAAATCGACGGCGTCGAACTCCCCGAGGCGGTATTTTCGGTGTGGTTCATCCCCTTGGATTTCATTTTGGGGGCACTCCCACGACTCGGCTTCGCCTGCCGCCGCTGCGGGGAGTTTTGCAGGTTCGAATGACTTAACGAACACGACGAAAGGAAGACGATCGGGTCCGCCTCGATCTGGCTTCCCTGCATGGAGGCCGTCGGGAGGTTGAACAGCGCGGAGTATTTCCTAAAGAACGCATACGACTGGCTGTACAAGATATCGTAGCTGGTGGAAACGTGGTAGTTCGAGAAGCTGTCGGACGACTTGGTGAGGCCCGCGCTCGGGTTGGGGGTGTTGTTGAAATTCGATAACCTCATCTGGGATCGGCTGCCCGCGAGGGAGGTATTCAACCGACTTCGGCCCTTCGCGATCGTGTTGGAGCTGGACCTCGGAATATAGGCGCCCTCCAAGCTGTGGCTATGCAGGAGATTGGTACCCTCCCCCACACTATCCTTTTCCCACGCGACGTTGGATGTGAATCCTAAAAGTGGTGCGCTAATACACCCCGAGGCGAACTGAAGCATCTTTCGAGCTTGCAATAGAGGGGGCGCAAAGTAGGTGTGCACGAGCTTCATCACGATAATCCAAACACTGGTATTCGGCAGGCGATCCGAGCTATTGCTGGAGTTCGACGCATTCCCATTCCGATCTTCCGGGGTCCCGACGGGTTTTAGATTGGGGTGGCTTTCAAATGGCATACCGCCTGCGTCGTTAGAAACCAGCCCATACGGCTCGAGGCCTTTGCGTTGGGTGCTTCGCGATTCCCCCGCACTCCCGAATTCCGATTGGAAGGGCGAAAACGGCTGCCGTTGATGAACCCCCCGCGCGCCTTCTTGCACGTCGAGCACCGACATCACGAGCAGCATGATCATCACGGCTAAATCCCCCTCGGTAAGATGCAAGTGCGCGAAGACCTCGCAAAGCGCATCCAACACCGCGCTGCGATACAAACTAAACAAGGAGGTCTCCTTCTCGACGGTATGATCATGGCCGCCCGGGTTCGTCAATTGCGTGGAAT